ACATACACACACATACACACACTTAATTTTCATAACACCTTGTAAAACTGGATAGTGAGATTCATGGGTAAAGTGGGTCTACTTGGTCCTAGTCAAACATTCTAGTCCCTAGACCAGGGTTTCCCAAACTTGGGTCCCCAGCTGTTTTTGGGCTACCATTCCCATCACCCCTGACCACTGGTCCAGCTAGCTGGGGAATGATGGGAGTTGTAGTCCAAAAACTACTGGGGAAACCCTTCCCTGGTCTATGCTGACTCTCAGTCATGTAATAATAATATATTCAAACTTTCTTTTACACCCTTGTGCAAGATTTACTGCATGAGGAAAGAGTTATGGAAGAAAATTTCTAGTACCTTGATATCAGTATTAAGCACTGGCTTACAATATTGAAGATCTCCGTGAGACTGTGGAGAGCACATATTCTAGATTGATAGAGAAGTATAAGGAACAGTCATAAAAAGAGGCTGTGTCCTCTTCAGAGTTCATCTACTGCACATTTTATTTTATTTTTTGAGTACCGCTTAGAAACGGTATAAAAACTGGAGACTTTTTCTGTCATATGAAGGGTTACTCTTGATTTGAGAAATTGTGCTGATTTATTGGTTTACTGCAAAATTGGTAGAGTTGGCTGAAACCTAACAGAGATGTTGGTACTGAGCCTATTGCTTCTTTCAAAGCTTTTAGTTATGTTTCCAGACATGGTGCTAAGACCACAAACCCTTGCAATCTCATGTGCTGCCTCTTCAATTAATCACTAGTTACACAGTCTGGCTGGAGGCCAGGGTGTTTATGGGAAATCTCTCTCTCTCTTCTACTGATATCGATAAATAGATAAGGATGCCACCAGGAGAGGTGAGAAATGGTAACAGCAGAACTGACTGACAGAACTGTCATCCCCTATTGCTAAATCTATTCATAGAACAGACAATATAAATCAAGCACCAACTACGGTACTCTTTTCCACCAAGTAAGAGATGTGTTTAATATCTGTCACTTTCAGTAAAGGTGGGGGTAGATGGGGGAGAGAAGAGAAGACTGTAAGTAAATTTGATGTATGTATGTTTCCTCCTATGAATGTGTCGAAAAAATCCATGTGTGAAACAGCTGTAAAATGATTAAGAAAGAATGTGCAGATATTACAAGAGTTTGGCTTGGTCAGGTTTGAGAAAAAGAGAGTCTGAAAGACAATATTCAGAGAATATTTTACCCCTCCTTTCCTCCAACCCGGAGGCAGCTTACTAAGGGCAGCTTAAAGGTAAAAGGACCCCTGACAATTAAGTCCAGTCGTGAACGACTCTGGGGTTGCTGCGCTCATCTTGCTTTATAGGCCGAGGGAGCCGGTGTTTGTAAGTAAAACAACCTTGCAGTAATAAAATCACAATAAAATACAGTAAAATCAGCAGTGATAAGAATCTGTAGGACCTCACACAGAAGTCAATTTCCTTCATGATCCAATTTCCTTTGTGATCCAAGTATATTCATTCTTTGTTTGGATACTTCTACTATGGGGACAGACTGAATACCACCTGGGGGAGTGCATGTTAATTTCCCATAAATCCATCAGATGTGATAACAGGTAGAGCTATTTAAATAAAATACTATTTTGTGAGATAGCAGCAAGAAGTGGGATATTTAGGCAGGAAATCAGAAGAGTTTAAGCAATTAAGAGTGCAAAACGTTCTGAAACAAGCATATGAACAAAAGAACTTCACTGTTCTTTGAATGCAGAAGTGGATAAACTAAGGAATGGATAAGCTATGATTGTTTATAGTCTTATGCCTAATTTGTGCTTTAAAGGGGCTTTGTTGCTTTGTGTTATTTTTCTTCTGCGGCAACTGCACTTTTTAGTCTTGTCAGGGACCTAGCAGTAGAAAGGAGCTGGTCATATTCTTTAGCTAATTACTGGTGTCTATGCAAACTTCCATTATAAAGTCGATGCCTGAAAAGCTATGTTGTTTTGAATACCTGCCCTTAATTTCTGCATTCCTACAGCACCTCACTAAGTTCCATTGCAGCAACCTGGTCAGGGACTAAGTAATATACCTGAAGGAGTGTCTCCACCTCCATCATTCAGCTCAGACACTGAGGTCCACTTCTGAGGGTCTTCTGGCGGTTCCCTCGCCAGAAGTAAAGTTACAGGGAACAGGCAGAGGGCCTTCTCGGCAGTGGCACCCTCCCTGTGGAACACCCTCCCATAAGATGTCAGGGAGATAAAGAATTACACAACTTTTAGAAAACATCTGAAGGCAGCCCTGTACAGTGGTACCTCGGGTTACATACACTTCAGGTTACATACGCTTCAGGTTACAGACTCCGCTAACCCAGAAATAGTGCTTCAGGTTAAGAACTTGGCTTCAGGATTAGAACAGAAATCGTGCTCCGGCGGCAGCAGGAGGCCCCATTAGCTTCAGGTTAAGTACAGTTGTGGTGCTTCAGGTTAAGAACAGTTTCAGGTTAAGAACGGACCTCCGGAACGAATTAAGTACTTAACCTAAGGTACCACTGTATTGGGAAGTTTTTAATGCTTGATGTTTTACTATGTTTTTATGTATGCTGTAAGTTACACAGTGTGGCTGGGGAAACCCAGCCAGATGGGCAGTGTATAAACAGTATAAGGACGGGGTATAAATAATTATTGATGATGATGATGATGATGATGATGATAGCTGCTACAGTCTTGTCCTGGGCAACTCATGGCTGCTGTACAATTTTTTATTTTTTATTTTGTTTAGACTGTCTATTCTGGGGCATACCTGGTATGCGCCGTGTCTCTCTACAAGCCATCGAATTATTTTATATTATTAACACCCCTCTGGAGAGTTTGGGATTTCTTGGCACACTGATGCATAAGAAGGTGCTTATTCTCATGTCTGTTAGTCTTATAGTCCAGCTTTTGTGCATGTTTCATGTTTGCTGCAATCATGTGCTAAGCCTGCTGTGCTTCTGTGAAGGGAGAATTGCCTGCACTTTCAATGAGAGTGAATCCTGAAAGAAAAGAGATCCCTGCACAAAATTAAAACCCTCCTTTACTTGAAACGATAACCAGAAAAAGTCCTTTCCATCCTCTTCCTAAAATAATAAATGGCACATGCCAGCAATAACCCTCTAAAACACAGAACAACCAGACAGATATTGGACATCATTTGGCACCAGCCATCAATTTTTAAAGCCTTTCTCAATAAAGCACAGTTACTGTATTTGAAGAAAATAATCTTTTGTGATATTTTCCATTGCACCTTCTTTCAACAACTAGCATAATCCTTCTAGTCTGCCTTTTGGGTAGCATTGCCAACCATCTATTATTGCACACTAGTCTGACCAGTGAAAAGCATGTGCTATCAAGAAACTACTATCTGAAAGCCAATGAACCCTAGGGGCAGTCCAACTGTTTTGTTCATTTATCCCTTCCTTTTCTTTGAACAGAAACCAGAGTAGCTTGCAACTGAAAATCAAATAAAATGCATACCCTCCAATATTTCTCCAATGAAAACAAGGACATCCTATTCCATAATGATAATTTTACTATTTATATCCCACACATCTTACTGGGTTGCCCCAGCCACTCTGGGCAACTTCCAACATATACAATAACATAATAAAACTTTAAACATTTAAAAAACTTACCTATACAGGATTTGCCTTCAGATGGCTTGTGGGTCAGATAACTCCATACCCTCCAGCATTTCTCCAATGAAAATAAGGACATCCCTAGGGAAATCGGGATATTCTGGGATCAAATCCAGAAACTGGGATGGCTTCTCTAAATCAGGGACGTCCCTGGAAAATAGGGACACTTGGAGGGACTGAGAATGGCAGTAAAATCATACCTGCAAATAATGATAAAACAAAATAGCTGCAGAAATAAACAATCTCGTAATATAAACAATGCAACAACAAATCACAAGGGGGGGGGGGACAACAACTAACACAAAAGTAGCAGCAGAAAATAAAAACATCTCCAAGAAATCCTCAACCCTAAAAGTGTTCAGTATTGCAGCTAGATGGGTCTCCCTAAGGAGGGCACTCTACCTGATTGAACCAACACCCAGATCTGCCAAATTTGCTTATTGGCACATGCTAGGCCAGGCATAGGCAAACTCCAGCCCTCCAGAGGTTTGGGACTACAATTCCCATTATCCATAGCTAACAGGACCAGTGGTCAGGGATGATGGGATTGTAGTCCCAAACACCTGGAGGGCCAGAGATTGCCTATGCCTGTGCTAGGCTTTTCTAGGGCATGCCAGATTCCATTTGGGTCACCCATGAACTGGAAACTTCTGCCACATAGTCCACCATAACTTTGGCCCCTAGCCTCATACATTCCCTCCCACCCCCCGCCGCCCTCGGCCCAGCCAGGGCGAGGTGGGCAATACTTTTTTTAAAAGTCCAGCAGCCTTGAAAATAAGGGATCAGCAGCCAAAATAAGGGATTTTGCTTAGCTTATGCACATCGGGGCTGCCGTCGTCCTGGCGCAAGGAGTTCCATCGGTCCTTCCCTGCCCGAGAGAGAGGGAGGGAGGAAGAGAGACTCTCGCCTGCGAGCCCGGCATGAGATGGTTGTGGCGCTGCCCTTCTGTGTCCCTCCCCATCCCCTCCTCTTCCTCCTCCCTCAGGCTGCCTCCTCAGCCGCCTCCGGCTTCCCCTGAAAGCGCGGCAGAAGTCTCGCAAGCCACCCATCTCCTCATGACGCGCCCCTGAGGGGGAAAGAGAGAGATGGAGACACGGCGCTCTCTTGTGGCAGAGGACCCTGAGCCGCTGCTTCTCTCCCGAGCCAGGCAAGCATGAAACCTGAGAAATTTAAGGGACATCATCAATCCGGGACAGCAGTGGGACACAGCACTGGGATAAGGGAGTTTCCCGCCAAATAAGGGACGGTTGACAGCTATGACCAGTGAGGGGAGAGACAGAGGGTCATCGTGAAACCAGGAACAAGGAAGCTTCTTGGATACATATTATCTGGATTTCACAAAGTTTGTAACAGAAGTGTGTTTTGCATTTCAGGAGTTACAGTTTGAAAGGCTTACCCGAGAACTTGAGGCTGAACGCCAGATTGTCGCCAGCCAGCTGGAGAGATGTAAACTGGGATCTGAGACCGGAAGCATGAACAGCATTAGGTATTGTATGAGAGTTATTGTGTTATTTCTCCATAACTGATTGGCATTGATAATGGATTGTGTTCCTCCTCTGACATATCAGGGTGGAGCTGTGATTTATTAGCAAAGAGAAAATGATTGTGAATTGTGGGCAAAAATGGATGTCGCAAATACTCGTGGAAACTCTGGAGGCAATGAAATAATTTGACTTCTGAATCTGCTAGGTTTGGCTCCTTTTTCTCATGCACTGGGATAAGAAAAATAAATGCAGCGAAAAATAAATGCAGCTTTTTGGCATGTGAAATGGAGAGAGTGCCCCAGATCATTTCCTGTCACACAAACATAACTTGTGAAAATATATTACTGGATAACCTTTTGGTCATTCTTCTAGTTGGATCATTTTAGTAGAGAAATTATTTATGCATTTTAAAATATGTATGATTTTTTTAAACTGCAATGTTCTGAAATCTGGTTCTTCTTGTATCTCTGGGAAATAATGAGAAAAATGTTCATGCAGGTAGCATGATTCCGTATGCAGAATTATAATGGTGCTATTAGATTTCACTTTTAAAAGGTTCGATCTAAGCAGAGACTTGCATGGAATACTAAATTTAAGTTGGTATCTTAGGTTGCTTGTCTGAAGGCATGATTAGGCTTGTAAAGTGAATTTGTAGTAGAAGATCATTCTTGTAAGAGGACGAAGTGATTACACTGGAGATGATCCTCTAAACATTTCTAAACAATTGCATAATATTAATGAGATGTTGACAGAAGAATAGCCCAGTTATTGCTTCATGATAATAGGCCATACACTTCATGGAGCCAAATTTGCAAATAATTAAAAAAGCACTTCAAGTTTGATGATATGCCAGAAATTTGAGAGACCCGGAAAACAAAATAAAATTCAAATGATTGCATAGTAATTTCTGGTTAGTCAAAATCCTTTAAAACAATATTTTATTTTAAATAATTGAGCAAATGCAAGAAGGGGGTCAAAAGGTTCGCAATGTGGTTTCAAGATACTGCCAATCTGTTCTTAAATGTGTGCATTGATTCTTGGTGTTTTTTAAGCATCTAAAGGCACAGTGACAGTATTGTAGTCATTGACGTTAATCCGACATGTGATTATTGCTGAATTTTATACATTTCCCCTAAACACTCTTCCTAACAGTAGGAATATTGCCTGATCTCAGTAGTATGTGCACGGGGGGGGGGGGCTGGAACAGAAACCCCATGTAAATAGGGGGTCACCTGTACTCCTAGGACAACTGAAAGAAGTTCTTGCATTTCTGTCCACCACTATTAACAAAAGCAGTGAGTGCACCCCTTCATTGTAGGATATTAGCAACTATATCCTAGGCTACCCTTCCTGAATCCCAAAATGGTTTTCAACCTTCTAAGGGGACAGTGGACATGATTTTCACTGCAGAGAGCAAAACCAACCCCTGTATATAGGGTTTATCTGTCTTTCTGAAAATTGGCTGCCCAGATACATTTGTGAACATCATTCAGCTCCTTCATGACATAATATGACAGCAAGAATCACAGGTAACAATGGCTCTCAAAGTGAACCATTCACAGTGGGATCAGGTGTTAAACAGGGTTGTGTTATTGCCCCAACTCTATTTATTATTTTCACTGCCATGAATCTACACATTGTCGAAGGGAAACTCCCCACCAGGGTAGAAATCATATATCAAACAGATGGAGAGCTCTTTAACCTGAGTACACTGAAAACAAAGAGTAAGGTTACCATAACTTCTGTCATAGAGCTTCAATATGCTGATGACAATGTAGTGTGTGCACACTCAGAGGATGACCTCCAAACCATCCTAAATAGTTTCACAGAAGCTTATGAAAAGCTTGGCCTATCGCTCAACATCCAAAAAACCGGCTACACCAACAAGCACAAACCAACCTCTCTGCAGCACCACTAATCAAACATAATGGTATAACATTGGATAAGGTCAATCACTTCTCCTACCTGAGCAGCTATTTTTCCACAAGGGCAGACATTGATGCCAAAATCCAGCATTGCCTGAGCTCTGCGAGTGCAGCTTTCTCCCAATTGAAGTGCAGAGTCTTTGAGGACAGGGACATTCTCAGGAAAACCAAAATGCTTGTTTACAAAGCTATTGTACTACCAACCTTACTATATGCTTGTGAAACATGGACCACTTATAAACACCATCCCCAACTCCTCAAAAGATTCCATCAACTGTGTCTCTGAAAAAATTTACATGTCACTTGGGAAGACAGGCAAACTGGAAGACAGGCAAAGATCACCATCAACCATTATTCAACATCAACTTTGTTGGACTGGTCATGTTGTGGGGATGCCTGATTATCGTCTTTCAACGCAACTACTCTATGCCAAACTTACGGTAAAAATGGAAAGCATAATGCTGGCAGTCTATAAAAGAGGTTTAAAGACTCTCTTCAAGGCGAATCTTTAAAAAAGTAGCATAAACACTGACAACTGGGAAACACTGGCCTGCAAGCACTCCAATTGGAGAACAGCCATTACCCAAAGTGTCATGGATCTTGACGCTCAAACTCAGGACGAAAGGGAGAAATGTTTGGCAAACCCTCACCTTGATCAACTCCCGCCCGGAAACCTATGTCCCCAATGTGGATGGACGTGTGGATCCAGAACTGGCCTCCACAGTCATTTGCAGAGTCACTGTTAAGGCTGTGTTCATGGAAGACAATCTTACTTAGCCAAGAGTGATCGCAAAGAAGAATAAGATGCTGATTTACAAATTTGTATCATAAACACAGGAAGGAGAGAAGAGGCTATTAGTTACATTGGGAAATTAACCACCTTGAACTGAGGACCTGAAATCTTGATCATGTGTTATAAACGGTGCTTCTTTGTACAGCTCCAGCTGCTGTGGAAGGTAGAGAATTGTGTTTGGAAATACATGGTTACAGAAGTTGGGCGCCATCCCTACTCTCTACTGAATCATAGCAAAATTGGGGGGGGCGTGTTTCCAGGTGCTTACCCAGGGTCTGTGTTCTTTTGATAATCAAGACTGTCATAGTTTTAAGAAATATGATTTATTCACATATTTACACCTGAGTTTAGATGGAGGGAGTCAAGATCTTACAGCACAGTCATCTCAGCAGGGGCTCGTTTCCCACAGCAATGCAGCACTGGAGTCCAAGGCATATTTCCCAGCCTGCCTTCAGCCAAAATTATTCTGCCTATTCCAAGTCTCCTGCTGTGCCAAAGGCCCCAAACTCAAGTGTGACATCATGCCCAGTTGCCCTGGCAACTTTCCAGATCACCTGCCTCTGTTCATACCTCAGGGCAGGAGGAAAATGTTTTCTTACATTGCCAATGGCCCTGTATTGTTTCTTAATGGCCCTAGCTTGTTGTTGTTGTTTAGTCGTTTAGTCGTGACCAACTCTTTGTGACCCCATGGACCAGAGCACGCCAGGCACTCCTGTCTTCCACTGCCTCCCGCAGTTTGGTCAAACTCATGCTGGTAGCTTCGAGAACACTATCCAACCATCTCGTCCTCTGTCGTCTCCTTCTTCTTGTGCCCTCCATCTTTCCCAACTTTCCCAACATCAGGGTCTTGGCCCTAGCTTAGCCAGGTCATTTTGCATAGGCTAGCCCAGGAATTCCTCTGCAGCTTGTATTTCTCCTTTCATCTCCCAATTAGTCAAAATCCTACCATTTATTAATTTCTAGGGTTTAGGGTAAGGTTACCAGATGTCCCCGTTTCCTGGGGACAGTCCCCGGATTGACAAATCAGTCCCCATACAAAATCCATTGAAGTTGAAAACTGTCCCTGGATCATTGAAAAAAATCTGGTAACCTTAGAATTTTAGGGGGCTCCTCAGGGGTTTTTTTAAAGCTGGAACTCACCAGAACTTAGTCCCGGCACCTCTCGGGTGGGCACCACTGCCATTATAAGAGAACAAGGGAGGTTTTCATGGTGAGTTCTGGCACTTCTTTTTCTAGAAAAATAGAACTGGTTTCTTCCCCCCAAAAAAACCTCTTTAACAATATAGACACATTTGTCGGTAGGGAAGAATGCAGAGTAAGCAAAGCTAACATAGCTGGAGGCCCTACTATGTTACAGCAAATACTGCCATGTAATTATATTCATTTTCTAAAATCACAATCTCCCTTTTGACTCAATGGGAGATCTCAAGGAGTGTATTCCGTGTATTATTCCGTGTAAAATGAGGAGGATAGGCAGGCATCCTAGAGTTGCTCTGATCAATGTTTGGTCATTTTCAGTTGAATACCAAACCAGGCTGCAGTGAAAAAGTGAAAACCCCAAGTCTGATCTTTCACTACATTGTATGCTGATTTGCTTTTGTACTTTCATAGCCACTAACACTCAAATTAGTTATATATAGTACCAAACTGATGCAAACGGCTTTCTTTTCTTACTAATTTAGGAATAGGTCGTGTTATTCTGATGAGTGTTTCCTTTGAAACCCTAGAACTGACCCCCTTTTCTTTTCTTTTTTTGTTTCCCTTTACTTTTGGCTGGTGCTTTTCTTGCCTTCTTGACTTTGGCAAGATGTGAAATGCACAGTAGGGGCTGTATCTGGAGCTTAAAAGGAGATGGGCTCAGAGTCATAATAAGGCTTTTCCATTTGTATGCTGCTCCAACCCTACTCATGAGGAAAATCAGTTACCATGGGATTCAGTATTGGAGACTCTTTGTGAATTGGAACAAAAGCATAATAAAACTATTATGAGGAGCTTTGCTGAATGGTTTAAAAAGAGACTTGGTGGTGATTTCCAGACAAGGGAGCATTGGAAACTATAAAGTTGATTATTATATCATGAGAGTAAACTGTAAGTTGCAGCACTGGATGGGTTTTTTAATTAAAAAATTGCAATGCAAAATGTTATTGCGTCGAAGAACTTAAAATTTTGAACAAATAGGCTTAAACACTATGCTAATGATAAGAAAGGGGACGCGAGTGAAGCTGTGGTGTAAACCACTGAGCCTTGGGCTTGCCGATCGGAAGGCCGCCGGTTCGAATCCCCA